GCGTGCCTGGTCCAAGAGCTTGCGTGGTCTAGGAGCTCGCGTGGTCCAGGAGCTTTGCCTGGTCCAAGAGCTTGCCTGGTCCAAGAGCTTTCGTGGTCCAGGAGCTTGCTTGGTCCAGGAGCTTGCCTGGTCAAGGAGCTTGCCTGGTCCAGGAGCTTGCATGGTCCAGGAGCGTGTCTGATCCACGAGTTTGCCTGGTCCTGAAGCTTGCCTGGTCCAGGAGCTTGCCTGGTGTAGGAGCTTGCAAGGTCCAGGAGCTTGCCTGGTCCAGGAGCTTGCCTGGTCCAGGAGCGATCCTGGTCCAGGAGCTTGCCTGGTCCAGGAGCTTGCCTGTTCCATGAGCGTGCCTGGTCCAGGAGCTTGCCTTGTCCAGGAGCTTTCTTGGTCCGTTAGCTTGCCTCGTCCACGAGCGTGCCTGATCCACGAGCTTGCCTGGTCCAAGAGCGTGCCTGGACCAGGAGTGTGCCTGGTCCACGAGCGAGCCTGGTCCAGGAGCTTGCCTGGTCCCGGAGCTTTCGTGGTCCAGGAGCTTGCCTGGTCCGGAAGCTTGCCTGGTCCAAGAGCTTGCCTGGTCCTCGAGCCTGCCTGGTCCAAGAGCTTGCGTGGTCCAGGAGCTTTCGTGGTCCAGAAGCTTGCGTGGTCCAGGAGCTTGCCTGGTCCAAGAGCTTGCTTGGTCCAAGAGCTTGCGTGGTCTAGAAGCTTGCCTGGTCTACGAGCTTGCCTGGTCTAGGAGCTTGCCTGGTCCAGGAGCTTGCTTGGTCCAGGAGCGTGCTTGGTCCACGAGTTTGCCTGGTCTAGAAGCTTGCCTGGTCCAAGAGCTTGCCTGGTCCAGGAGCTTGCATGGTCCAGGAGCGTGCCTAGTCCAGGAGCTAGCGTGGTCCAGGAGCTATCCTGGTCCAGGAGCTTGCCTGGTCCAGGTTTGTGCCTGGTCCACGAGTTTGCTTGGTCTAGAAGCTTGCCTGGTCCAAGAGCTTGCCTGGTCTAAGAGCTTGCATCGTCCTGGAGCGTGCCTGGTCCAAGAGCTTGCCTGGTCCAAGAGCTATCCTGGTCCAGGAGCTTGCCTGGTCCAGGAGCTTGCCTGGTCCAGGAGCTTGCCTGTTCGAGGAGCGTGCCTGGTCCAAGAGCTTGCCTGGTCCAAGAGCGTGTATGGTCCACGAGTGTGCCTGGTCCATGAACTTGCCTGGTCAGGAGCTTGCCTAGTCAAGGAGCTTGCCTGGTCCAAGAGCTTGCCTGGTCCAGGAGCTTGCCTGGTCCAGGAGCTTGCCTGGTTCAAGAGCTTGCCTGGTCTAGGAGCTTGCCTGGTCCAGGAGCTTGCCTTGTCCAGGTTCGTGCCTGGTCCACGAGTTTGCTTGGTCCAGAAGCTTGCCTGGTCCAGGAGCTTGCCTGGTCTAAGAGCTTGCATGGTTCAGGAGCGTGCGTGGTCCAAGAGCTTGCTTGGTCCAGGAGCTATCCTGGTCCAGGAGCTCGCCTGGTCCAGGAGATTGCCTGGTCCAAGAGCTTGCCTGTTCCAGGAGCGTGCCTGGTCCAAGAGCTTGCCTGGTCGAAGAGCGTGCATGGTCCACGAGCGTGCCTAGTCCAGGAGCTTGCTTGGTCTAGGAGCTTGCCTGGTCAAGGAGCTTGCCTGGTCCAGGAGCTTGCTTGGTCCAGGAGCTTGCCTTGTCCACGAGCCTGCCTGGTCCAAGAGCTTGCCTCGTCCGGGAGCGTGCACGGTCCACCAGCGTGCCTGGTCCAGGAGTTTGCCTGGTCCAGGAGCTTGCGTGGTACAATAGCTTGCTTGGTCCAGAAGCCTGCCTGGTCCAAGAGCTTGCCTGGTCCAAGAGCGTGCCAGGTCCAAGAGCTTGCGTGATCCAGGAGCTTGCGTGGTCGAGGAGCTTGCCTGGTCCAGGAGCTTCCCTGGTCCAGGAGCTTGCCTGGTCCAAGAGCTTGCCTGGTCCAAGAGCTTGCGTGGTCCAGGAGCTTGCCTGGTCCAGGAGCTTGCTTGGTCTAGGAGCTTGCCTGGTCCAGGAGCTTGCCTGGTCCAGGAGCTTGCCTGGTCAAAGAGCTTGCCTGGTCCAGGAGTTTGCCTGGTCCAGAAGCTTGCCTCGTCCAGGAGCTTGCCTGGTCTAGGAGATTGCATGGTCCAGGAGCGTGCCTGGTCCAGGAGCTTGCCTGGTCCACGAGCTATCCTGGTCCAGGAGCTTGCCTGGTCCAGGAGCTTGCCAGGTCCAGGAGCTTGCCTGTTCCACGAGCATTCTTGGTCCAGGAGCTTGCCTTGTCTAGGAGCTTTCTTGGTCCGTTAGCTTGCCTGGTCCGGGAGCTTGCCTTGTCCAGGAGCTTGCCTGGTCCAGGAGCTTGTGTGAACCAATAGCTTGCTTGATCCAGAAGCCTGCCTGGTCCAAGAGCTTGCCTGGTCCACGAGCGTGCCTGGTCCAAAAGCTTGCCTGGTCCAGGAGCTTTGCCTGGTCCAAGAGCTTGCCTGGTCCAAGAGCTTGCGTGGTCCAGGAGCTTGCCTGGTCCAGGAGCTTGCCTGGTCTAGGAGCTTGCCTGGTCCAGGAGCTTGCCTGGTCCAGGAGCGTGCCTGATCCACGAGTTTGCCTGGTCCAGAAGCTTGCCTGGTCCAGGAGCTTGCCTGGTCTAGGAGCTTGCATGGTCCAGGAGCTTGCCTGGTCCAGAAGCTTGCCTGGTCCAGGAGCTTGCCTGGTCCAGGAGCTTGCCTGTTCCACGAGCGTGCCTGGTCCACGAGCTTGCCTTGTCCAGGAGCTTTCTTGGTCCGTTAGCTTGCCTTGTCCACGAGCGTGCCTGATCCACGAGCTTGCCTGGTCCGAGAGCGTGCCTGGACCAGGAGTGTGCCTGGTCCACGAGCGAGCCTGGTCCAGGAGCTTGCCTGGTCCCGGAGCTTTCGTGGTCCAGGAGCTTGCCTGGTCCGGAAACTTGCCTGGTCCAGGAGCTTGCCTGGTCCTCGAGCCTGCCTGGTCCAAGAGCTTGCGTGGTCCAGGAGCTTTCGTGGTCCAGAAGCTTGCCTGGTCCAGGAGCTTGCCTGGTCCAAGAGCTTGCCTGGTCCAAGAGCTTGCGTGGTCTAGAAGCTTGCCTGGTCCACGAGCTTGCGTGGTCTAGGAGCTTGCCTGGTCCAGGAGCTTGCTTGGTCCAGGAGCGTGCTTGGTCCACGAGTTTGCCTAGTCTAGGAGCTTGCATGGTCTAGGAGCATTCCTAGTCCAGGAGCTAGCCTGGTCGAGGAGCTATCCTGGTCCAGGAGCTTGCCTGGTCCAGGAGCTTGCCTGGTCTAGGAGCTTGCGTGTTCCACGAGCATGCCTGGTCCAGGAGCTTGCCTTGTCCAGGAGCTTTCTTGGTCCGTTTGCTTGCCTGGTCCAGGAGCTTGCCTGGTCCAAGAGCTTTCTTGGTCCAAGAGCTTGCCTGGTCCAGGAGCTTGCCTGGTCCAGGAGCTTGCCTGGTCCACGAGCCTGCTTGGTCCGAGAGCTTGCCTGGTCTTTGAGCTTGTCTGGTCTTTGAGCTTGCCTGGTCCAGGAGCTTTCCTGGTCTAGGACCTTGCGTGGTCCAAGAGCTTGCTTGGTCCAGAAGCCTGCCTCGTCCACGAACTTGCCTGGTCCAGGAGCGTGCCTTGTCGAAAAGCTTGCGTAGTCCAGGAGCTTGCCTCGTCCAAGAGCTTGCCTGGTTCAAGAGCTTGCGTGGTCCAGGAGCTTGCCTGGTCCAGGAGCTTGCCTGGTCTAGGAGCTTGCCTGGTCCAAGAGCTTCCTTGGTCCAGAAGCATGTCTGGTCCACGAGTTTGCCTGGTCCAGAAGCTTGCCTGGTCCAGGAGCTTGCCTGGTCTAGGAGCTTGCATGGTCCAGGAGCGTGCCTGGTCCAGGAGCTTGCCTAGTCCAGGAGCTATCCTGGTCCAGGAGCTTGCTTGGTCAAGGAGCTTGCCTGTTCCAGGAGCTTGCCTGTTCCAGGAGCTTGCCTGGTCCAGGAGCTATCCTGGTCTAGGAGCTTGCCTGGTCCAGGAGCTTGCGTGGTCCAAGAGCTTGCCTTGTCCAAGAGCTTTCTTGGTCCGTGAGCTTGCCTGGTCCAGGAGCTTGCCTTGTCCAGGAGCTTGCCTGGTCCAAGAGCTTGCTTGGTCCAAGAGCTTGCGTGGTCCAGGAGCTTGCCTGGTCTAGGAGCTTGCCTGTTCCAGGAGCTTGCCTGGTCCAGGAGCTATCCTGGTCTAGGAGCTTGCCTGGTCCAGGAGCTTGCCTGGTCGAGGAGCTTGCGTGGTCCAAGAGCTTGCCTGGTCCAGGAGCTTGCCTGGTCCAGGAGCGTGCCTGGTCCACGACTTTGCCTGGTCCAGAAGCTTGCCTGGTTTAGGAGCTTGCCTGGTCTAGGAGCTTGCATGGTCCAGGAGCGTGCCTGGTCTAGGAGCTTGCCTGGTCCAGGAGCTATCCTGTTCCAAGAGCTTGCCAGGTCCAAGAGCTTGCCTGGTCCAGGAGCTTGCCTGTTCGAGGAGCGTGCTTGGTCCAAGAGCTTGCCTGGTCCAAGAGCGAGCATGGTCCACGAGCATGCCTGGTCGAGGAACTTGCTTGGTCAGGGAGCTTGCCTGGTCAAGGAACTTGCCTGGTCCTGGAACTTGCCTGGTCCAAGAGCTTGCGTGGTTCATGAGCTTGCCTGGTCTAGGAGCTTGCCTGGTCCAGGAGCTTGCCTGGTCCAGAAGCGTGCCTGGTCCACGAGTTTGCCTGGTCCAGAAGCTTGCGTGGTCCAGGAGCTTGCCTGGTCTAGGAGCTTGCATGGTCCAGGAGCGTGCCTGGTCCAGGAGCTTGCCTGGTCCGGGAGCTATCCTGGTCCAGGAGCTTGCCTAGTCCAGGAGCTTGCCTGGTCCAAGAGCTTGCTTGTTCCAGGAGCGTGCCTGGTCCAAGAGCTTTCCTGGTCCAAGAGCGTGCATGGTCCACGAGCGTGCATGGTCCAGGAGCTTGCCTGGTCCAGGAGCTTGCCTGGTCAAGGAGCTTGCCTGGACCAGGAGCTTGCCTGGTCCAGGAGCTTGCTTGGTCCAGGAGCTATCCTGGTTCAGGAGCTTGCCTAGTCAAGGAGCTTGCCTGGTCCAGGAGCTTGCCTGGTCCAGGAGCTTGCGTGGTCCACGAGCCTGCCTGGTCCAAGAGCTTGCCTGGTCCAGGAGCGTGCATGGTCCACGAACGTGCATGGTCCAGGAGCTTGCCTGGTCCAGGAGCTTGCATGGTCCAATCTCTTGCTTGGTCCAAAAGCCTGCCTGGTCCAAGAGCTTGCCTGGTCGAGGAGCGTGCCTGGTCCAAGAGCTTGACTTATCCAGGACGTTGCGTGGTCGAGGAACTTGCCTGGTCAAGGATCTTGCCAGGTCCAGGAGCTTGCCTGGTCCAAGAGCTTGCCTGGTCCAAGAGCTTGCGTGGTCCAGGAGCTTGCATTGTCCAGGAGCTTGCCTGGTCTAGGAGCTTGCCTGGTCTAGGAGCGTGCGTGGTCCACGAGTTTGCCTGGTCCAGAAGCTTGCCTCGTCCAGGAGCTTGCCTGGTCTAGGAGCTTGCATGGTCCAGGAGTGTGCTTGGTCCAGGAGCTTGCCTAGTCCAGGAGCTATCCTGGTCAAGGAGCTTGCCTCGTCAGGGAGCTTGCCTGGTCCACGAGCGTCCACGTCCATGTCCAAGTCCACGTCCTTGTCTACGTCCACGTCCACGTCCATGTCCACGTCCACGTCTACGTCCACGTCCAAGTCCATGTCCACGTCCACGTCCACGTCCACGTTCATGTCCACGTCCACGTCCACGTCCACGTCCACGTCCACGTCCACGACCACGTCCACGTCTACGTCCACGTCCACGTCTAAGTCCATGTCCACGTCCACGTCCACGTCCACGTCCACATCCATGACCATGTCTTCGTCCACGTCCACGTCCACGTCCATGTCCACGTCCAAGTTCTCCACGTCCACGTCCACGTCCACGTCGACGTCCACGTACATGTCCACGTCCATGTCCATGTCCACGTCCACGTCCATGTCCATGTCCACGTCCATATCCACGTCCACGTCCACGTCCACGTCCACGCCTATCTCCATGTCCAAGTCCTCCGCGTCCATGTCCACGTCCATCTCCACGTCCACGTCCACGTCCATGTCCACGTCCATGTCCACGCCCACGTCCACGACCATGTCCACGTCCACGTCCACGTCCATGTCCACGTCCACGTCCATGTCCACGTCCATGTCCATGCCACGTCCACGTCCATGTCCACGTCCACGTCCATGTCCACGTCCACGTCCACGTCCACGTCCACGTCCACGTCCACGTCCACGTCCATGTCCACGTCCACGTCCATGTCCACGTCCACGTCCATGTCCACGTCCACGTCCACGTCCACGTCCACGTCCATGTCCACGTCCATGTCCACGTCCACGTCCATGTCCACGTCCACGTCCACGTCCACGTCCACGTCCACGTCCACGACCACGTCCACGTCCACGTCCACGTCCACGTCCATGTCCACGTCCACGTCCATCTCCACGTCCACGTCCACGTCCACGTCCACGTCCACGTCCACGTCCACGACCACGTCCACGTCCACGTCCACGTCTAAGTCCATGTCCACGTCCACGTCCACGACAATGTCTTCGTCCACGTCCACGTCCACGTCCACGTCACGTCCACGTCCACGTCCACGTCCACGTCCAGGTCCAGGTCCACGTCCATGTCCACGTCCAGGTCTACGTCCACGTCCATGTCCACTAGATTTATATATTTCCCACCTTGTGATCGAGTGAGACTGCTAGATTCCCTCTACTTTTTGAGAAATGAGCGTTTCCGTTCTCCTTGGCCCTAGTTGCACTATAAGTGCGAAATGCCGACCAGACTGGCCGATGCACAATTTTCTCTACACGTGTACGTTAGTTACCTTTCAAACCCTTACGTTCACTAGATGAATATATTTCCTACTTTCTATTTGAGTGAGACCACTTGATTCCGTGTACTATGCGAGATCTGAGCGCTTCCGTTCTCCCTGGCATTTGCATTTTAAGTTCCGATACTGACCGACCTGGCCAATGCACCATTTTCTCTATACATGTGCGTTGAATACATTTCCAACCTTTTTAGCTGACTAGATTTATATATTTCCCACCTTCTGATCGAGTGAGACCGTTAGATTCCCTTTACTTTTTGAGAAACGAGCGTTTCCGTTCTCCCTGACCCCACCTGCACTATGAGTGCGAAATGCCGGCCAGACTGGCCGATGCACCATTTTCTCTACACATGTGCGTTAGTTACCTTTCAAACCCTTACGTTCACTAGATGAATTTATTTCCTACCTTATATTTGAGTGAGACCACTAGATTCCGTGTATTATGCGAGATATGAGCGGTTCCGTTCTCTGAGGCATTTGTACTCTAAGTTCCCATACTGACCGGCCTGGCCAATGCACCACTTTTCATATACATATGCATTAGATTCCTTCCGAACCTTATTAGCTCACTATATTTATAAGGGCCTAAACCCTGAGAGCGCACAGTGGGATGAGCATCAGCAGCAGGGGCAGGAGAGGCGCCAGAAGTGAGGTCAAAGAGAGAGAGGCCGTCTGCCCTATCGCACTGTAAAAACAACTGCAGGTCGTTGACCCATACCTCAAAGTCAATGGCGCGACCCTCAGCGTCAAAAGCTAGGACACTAGGGGTAGCCATGACGACGACAGCGAAGCAGTGCAAGCAGTAGGGGAAGAGCACGCAGTGACTGTGGGACTGTGCTCACCAGGCAGGGCAGCGCTGCAGAAGGGCGGCTCGGCAACTCAGCGACTCGGCTGCTGGGCGGCTCGGCTTCCGGGCGGCTCGGTGTCGGGCGGCTCAGGTGCAGGGCGGCTCGGCTCCCGGGCGGGTCGGCGGCAGGGCGGCTCGGCTGCACCGCTGCTCGGCTGCTGCAGGTGGGCGGCTCGGCTGCTGCAGGTAGGGTGACGGGGCCGTGAGACCAGGGGCGGCGGGGCCGGCGAAGCAGGGCCGGCAGGGGGGACGGCGGGGCCGCGTCTGAGCGGGCGGCGGGGCCGCGGCTGAGCAGGCGGCGGGGCCGCGTAGTAGTGGGCGGCGGGGCCGGGGCTGAGCAGGCGGCGGGGCCGCGTCAAAGCGGGCGGCGGGGCCGCGTCAAAGCAGGTGGCGGGGCCACGTCGTAGTGGGCCGCGGGGCCGGGGCTGAGCAGGCGGCGGGGCCGCGTCAAAGCGGGCGGCGGGGCCGCGTCAAAGCATGCGGCGGGGCCGCGTCGAAGCAGGCGGCGGGGCCGCGTCAAAGCAGGCGGCGGGGCCGCGTCAGAGCAGACGGCGGGGCCGCGTCAAAGCGGGCGGCGGGGCCGCGTCGTAGCGGGCGGCGGGGCCGCGTCTGAGCAGGCGGCGGGGCCGCGTCTGAGCGGGCGGCAGGGGCCGCGTCTGAGCGGGCGGCGGGGCCGCGTCGTAGCGGGCGGCGGGGCCGCGGCTGAGTAGGTGGCGGGGCCGCGTCTGAGCAGGCGGCGGAGCCGCGATCGAAATGGGCGGCTGGATCTGAGCGTTTCCGTTCTCCCTGGCATTTGTACTCTAAGTACCCATACTGACCGACCTGGCCAATGCACCATTTTCCATATACATATGCATTATATTCCTTTCGAACCTTATTAGCTCACTAGATTTATATATTTCCCACCTTCTGATCAAGTGAGACCGCTAGATTCCCTTTAGTTTTGAGAAATGAGCGTTTCCGTTCTCCTTGGCCCTACTTGCACTATAAGTGCGAAATGCCAGCCAGACTGGCCGATGCACCATTTTCTCTACACATGTGCGTTAGTTACCTTTCAAACCCTTACGTTCACTAGATGAATTTATTTCCTACCTTCTATTTGAGTGAGACCACACGATTCCCTGTACTATGCGAGATCCGAGCGCTTCCGTTCTCCCTGGCATTTGCATTTTAAGTTCCGATACTGACCGACCTGGCCAATGCACCATTTTCTCTATACATGTGCGTTGAATACATTTCAAACCTTTTTAGCTGACTAGATTTATATATTTCCCACCTTTTGATCAAGTGAGACCGTTAGATTCCCTCTACTTTTTGAGAAACGAGCGTTTCCGTTCTCCCTGGCCCCACCTGCACTTTGAGTGCGAAATGCCGGCCAGACTCACCGATGCACCATTTTCTCTACACATGTGCGTTAATTACCTTTAAAACCATTACGTTCACTAGATGAATATATTTCCTACCTTATATTTGAGTGAGACCTCTAGATTCCGTGTATTATGCGAGATCTGAGCGGTTCTGTTCTCCCAGGCATTTGCACTCTCAGTTCCCATACTGACCGACGTGTCCAATGCACCACTTTCCATATACATATGCATTAGATTCCTTCCGAACCTTATTAGCTCACTAGATTTATATATTTCCCACCTTCTGATCGAGTGAGACCGCTAGATTCCCTCTACGTTGTGAGAAATGAGCGTTTCCGTTCTCCTTGGCCCTACTTGCACTATAAGTGCGAAATGCCGGCCAGACTGGCCGATGCACCATTTTCTCTACACATGTGCGTTAGTTACCTTTCAAACCCTTACGTTCACTAGATGAATTTATTTCCTACCTTCTATTTGAGTGAGACCACTAGATTCCGTGTACTATGCGAGATCTGAGCGGTTCTGTTCTCCCTGGCATTTGCACTCTAAGTTCCCATACTGACCGACCTGGCCAATGCACCATTTTCCATATACATATGCATTAGATTCCTTTCAAACCTTATTAGCTCACTAGATTTATATATTTCCCACCTTCTGATCGAGTGAGACCGCTAGATTCCCTTTACTTTTTGAGAAATGAGCGTAGCCATTCTCCTTGGCCTTACTTGCACTATAAGTGCGAAATGCCGGCCAGACTGGCCAATGCACCATTTTCTCTACACATGTGCGTTAGTTACCTTTCAAACCCTTACGTTCACTAGATGAATTTATTTCCTACCTTCTATTTGAGTGAGACCACTAGATTCCGTGTACTATGCGAGATCTGAGCGGTTCCGTTCTCCCTGGCATTTGCACTCTAAGTTCCCATACTGACCGACCTGGCCAATGCACCATTTTCCATATACATATGCATTAGATTCCTTTCGAACCTTATGAGCTCACTAGATTTATATATTTTCCACCTTCTGATCGAGTGAGACCGCTAGATTCCCTTTACTTTTTGAGAAATGAGTGTTTCCGTTCTCCTTGGCCCTACTTGCACTAGAAGTGCGAAATGCCGGCCAGACTGGCCGATGCACCATTTTCTCTACACATGTGCGTTAGTTACCTTTCAAACCCTTACGTTCACTAGATGAATTTATTTCCTACCTTCTATATAAGTGAGACCACTAGATTCCGTGTACTGTGCGAGATCTGAGCGCTTCCGTTCTCCCTGGCATTTGCACTCTAAGTTCCCATACTGACCGACCTGGCCAATGCACCATTTTCCATATACATATGCATTAGATTCCTTTCGAACCTTATTAGCTCACTAGATTTATATATTTCCCACCTTCTGATCGAGTGAGACCGCTAGATTCCCTTTACTTTTTGAGAAATGAGCGTTTCCGTTCTCCTTGGCCCTACTTGCACTATAAGTGCGAAATGCCGGCCAGACTGGCCGATGCACCATTTTCTCTACACATGTGCGTTAGTTACCTTTCAAACCCTTACGTTCACTAGATGAATATATTTCCTACCTTCTATTTGAGTGAGACCACTAGATTCTGTGTACTATGCGAGATCTGAGCGCTTCCATTCTCCCTGGCATTTGCACTCTAAGTTCCCATACTGACCGACCTGGCCAATGCACCACTTTCTATATACATATGCATTAGATTCCTTTCAATCCTTATTAGCTCACTAGATTTATATATTTTCCACCTTCTGATCGAGTGAGACCGCTAGATTCCCTTTACTTTTTGAGAAATGAGCGTCTCCGTTCTCCTTGGCCCTACTTGCACTATAAGTGCGAAATGCCGGCCAGACTGGCCGATGCACCATTTTCTCTACACATGTGCGTTAGTTACCTTTCAAACCCTTACGTTCACTAGATGAATTTATTTCCTACCTTCTATTTGAGTGAGACCACTAGATTCCGTGTACTATGCGAGATCTGAGCGCTTCCATTCTCCCTGGCATTTGCACTCTAAGTTCCCATACTGACCGACCTGGCCAATGCACCATTTTTCATATACATATGCATTAGATTCCTTTCAAACCTTATTAGCTCACTAGATTTATATATTTCCCACCTTCTGATTGAGTGAGACCGCTAGATTCTCTCTACTTTTTGAGAAATGAGCGTTTCCGTTCTCCTTGGCCCTAGTTGCACTATAAGTGCGAAATGCCGGCCAGACTGGCCGATGCACAATTTTCTCTACACATGTGCGTTAGTTACCTTTCAAACCCTTACGTTCACTAGATGAATATATTTCCTACTTTCTATTTGAGTGAGACCACTTGATTCCGTGTACTATTCGAGATCTGAGCGCTTCCGTTCTCCCTGGCATTTGCATTTTAAGTTCCGATACTGACCGACCTGGCCAATGCACCATTTTCTCTATACATGTACAATGAATACATTTCAAACCTTTTGAGCTGACTAGATTTATATATTTCCCACCTTCTGATCGAGTGAGACCGTTAGATTCCCTCTACTTTTTGAGAAACGACCGTTTCCGTTCTCCCTGGCCCCACCTGCACTATGAGTGAAAATGCCGGCCAGACTGGCCGATGCACCATTTTCTCTACACTTGTGCGTTAGTTACCTTTTCAAACCCTTACGTTCACTAGATGAATATATTTCCTACCTTATATTTGAGTGAAACCAATAGATTCCATGTATTATGTGAGATCTGAGCGCTTCCGTTCTCCCTGGCATTTGCACTCTAAGTTCCCATACTGACCGACCTGGCCAATGCACCATTTTCCATATACATATGCATTAGATTCCTTTCGAACCTTATTAGCTCACTAGATTTATATATTTCCCACCTTCTGATCGAGTGAGACCGCTAGATTCCCTTTACTTTTTGAGAAATGAGCGTTTCCGTTCTCCTTGGCCCTACTTGCACTATAAGTGCGAAATGCCGGCCAGACTAGCCGATGCACCATTTTCTCTACACATGTGCGTTAGTTACCTTTCAAACCCTTACGTTCACTAGATGAATTTATTTCCTACCTTCTATTTGAGTGAGACCACTAGATTCCGTGTACTATGCGAGATCTGAGCGGTTCCATTC